ATAGGAATAAATATAATTTATGTAATTCGAGTCGCAATAGCTTACTTTATTTAAATCAAACGTACCATAAAATTGACAAATAACTAAAAACAAATAAGAACTAACTRTAAATAATACACAAACACAACGAGATGTTTTTACGATAAATTACATTAAGAATTTTTAATAAAAAAATAAACAGTAAATTCTATAAGGAATTTCGTTTAATTCTACGAATTACAATCATTTGCTAAATACATAGAGCTTTTATGCGTATTAATTTTGAACAGGGAGTAATTGTTATTGTTCGAGACACGACATGGAATTCATGGTCCTTGCTTCAACTAACACCATGTTTTTACTTCAAATACCACACAAAAAAAAATTAATTTGTCCACCCGTTTATGTGTAATTGTTAATTGGGCCATATAAACCTTATACGTTAATCATCAATAACGTTCTGTAGAAGATTTTTCTACAGTCAATATTATCAGTAACCCCTTCAAACATCACTATTATAGGATATTTGAAAATTCGACGTYAAAAAAGTCTCCTTTGAGGCAAAAATCGATTATCAGCACTACATTTTCTAAGGCTAAACCTCTAAACTCGGTCGGTTGCATCCTKAARTGGTTGCTAACAAACAAATAATTATGAATGTCTACAAATACTAAGATAATTTCCGTTCTTCTCCATCAGAATCTTAGTATTTTGTATTTATAAATTTGTTTGCTCGCAAAAAAAATACCCACTCGTATTTGTTTATTGTAAATTTATTAACTTTTAGATATGTATTGTTAAATCATATTTTATCTTTATTATATTTTTCCGTGTTTTAGCGGTTAGCTGCGTGCAAGTTGACATCATATCTATCAGGACATATTACACTAACTTGAAAATTATGGCAAGTGATAATTGAAACTAAAAATGCAACGTTACAATAAAATTATAAATTAATTTGAATCTACTCAGAAAAATTATATTTTTTTCAAAAAAAATGAGGCATGGGCACAACTTTTATTAAAAAAAAATTAATCAGTTACTTAGTAATGACAATTAAATTAAATTATATAACTCTTAAATTAACTTGTTCTTATAATTCCTTAGTTTAAAATGACGGTATGGTAACTAGATTAACTGAAAAATCGTAAATTATTTGATGATCAAATAACAATCTTATAAATTCTTTATAATTTAAAAAATAAATGTATTAAGTTTATTTTGTTATACAAGATTGAAAATGCAATAACAAAATACGAGAAAAATAAATTATTTTTCCATTTATATTATTATTTCGAGAAGATTCTATAGAACTCCGTCAGAATAATGTAAACTAATGACTCTGAAAAATAAATACACAAAACATTATTTTTGTTATGTGAACAAATATCATATACATATTTTAATATTTATAATGAATGTATTCATCAATGGTCCAAGTAAGGTGAATAAACAAATTTAATTCAAAATGTTAACTAGTAATCACAGTTTTCGATTTATAGCTATGCATACGTTGTTAATTTATTATGTTAGTAATTATTTGCATGTTCAAATTCTTATTTTATGAATTTTTAATTATAAGTAGGTTGTTACCACAGACTTATAAACTGACTTAATTTATTGGTCTACTATGGTACTATTACACAACATATGAACATATATTTGGACTTTATGATATTTGGTGAGAATATTGTGTCAATAATATATAAACTTCATTACCTATTTTTTAATTTTAAATGAGAACTAAATAATCGAAATGTAATTTAACTTATTGTTGATAATTTATCTTTATTGTTTTATTTGTTCTATATAATCCTTAAATCT